ATCATCAGCATCATCAGCATCATCATCGTCATCATCATAACCAGCATCACCATCCACATCATCAGCAGCATCATCATAATCATCATCATCAGCAGCATCATCACAATCTTCATCTTCAGCACCATCATCAGCATCATCATCAGCAACATGGCCGTCAGAATCATCATTATCAGCACCACCACCATCATCAACAGCATCAGCATGATCACCAGTATTAATATCATCATCAGCAGCAGCATCAGCATCAGCATCATAATCATAATCATGATCATCATAGTCAGAATCAGGAACATCATCGTCTGGTTTCCTTCGTGTCCCTTTCCGCCGCCTCCTTCTCCTCCTCCATCCCTTTCTATCTCCCCCTCCTCCGCTTGCTCCTCCTCCGACGACTCAGCATAATCATCAAAATGTGTAAATGCCTCTCTGGCACGCCAATCCACCATCCAGTATCCTCATGCCTGTTATCCTCTACCCACTCCTCATACTCTCCCTCCTCCAGCTCTATCCCTCCTCCTCGTACTCATTACGTTCTTCTCATCATCCTCCTCATCCTCCTGACCCTCCTCCTTATCCTACGCCCATCCTCATTATTATCGTTCCCTTTCTGCGGCCGCTGCTGCCCACCCTTCTCCTCCTCGTCCTCCTGATCCTCATCACCCTCCTCCTCATTCCTAACCGTGCGAATTCTCATTCCCCGCGTTTGCCTTGTTCATCTCTTCTGGTGAGCCGGTAGATTTGCGTGTGCAACTTGCCTCTAATATCATCCTTGTCGTCCTCGCCCTCAACCTTCTTCTCGTCCTCGCTTTGTTTCTGCTCCTCCCCTTCTTTCTCCTCCTCCTCCTTCTCCTCTTTCTCCTCCTCCTGCTCCTCCTTCTCCTTCTCCTTCGCCCTCTCCTCCACATTGTCCCGTGTGATCCTTCCTCATCATAACCATATTCGGACTCATTCATTTATGGTGAATTCAGACATCCTACTGCCTGGTCATGTTTATTACTCGCTTCCGCTATTCGATCATCTTTGACACCCCCGGCATCCACGACATCATCACCCTCATGTGTTTCAGACAACCTGTCCTGGCCAGTGGCGGCGCTGACCACGCGGATCTGGATGGCAACCGAAGGCCCTTCTTTAAGCTTCTGGGGAATCCTCGCGTCGACCTTGGTGCGCGCAGAAAAACCGTTATCAGGTCGTGGCCCTCGATCCGAACACTTATCAAGATCTGGCTACGCTGCCCTGTCGCTTGGAGGAGCAGCTGCAACAGGAAAGCAAGTATTCTCGACTCCGAACGACGACAGGGTGGGCCACGAGCAAGCTGGGCTGGCGCGAAGCGGAGGCTGATATTGGGAGGCTGCTCCCCCCCACGAGGTAGCGCCTAAGGCCCTGGGCACTGATCTTTCACTGCTCCGGCGTAGGGCGGGAATGGAAGCAAAGCGAAGAGGCAAGAACCTGGACCGGGTAGGGGACGGGCCCTTCCACTCCTCCTCCTCCTCCTCCTCCTCCTCCACCTCCTCCTCCTCCTCCTCCTCCTCCTCCTCCTCCTCCTCCTCCTCCTCCTCCTCCTCCTCCCCATCCTCCTGTCGTCATCATCGTCATCGTCTCATCATCATCATCATCATCATCATCATCATCATCATCATCATCATCATCATCATCATCATCATCATCAGCAAAAGCAGCATTAGCATCAGCATCATCACCCCCACTATTATCATCGACGTCGGCAGTGTCATCATCGTCATCGTCATCATCATATTCTGCATCATCGTTAGCAAAATCACCACCATTAGCATTCATCATCCTGATAATCATCATCATCATCATAAGCAGCAGCAGCAGCAGGAGTAGCAGCAGCACCAGCAGTAGCAGCATGGTCATCATAGCCATCATAGACAGCAGCATGATAATCATCAGCATCATCAGCATCCTCATCAGCATCAGCAGCAGCATCATCGGCATCATGATCATCGTCGTCGTTGCCGCTGCCGCCGTCGCCGCAAACGTCGTCGTGGTCATCTTCGTCGGCGGCGGCGGCAGCATCATCATCACCATCAGCAGCAGCATCATGATCAACACAATCGTCATCGTCGTCGCATCGACAGAAGCATCAGCATAAATATCACCAGCGACATCATCATCACCACCATCATCATCATCGTCACTATCTTCCCTGCAATCTCCACTATCCACTCTCCTCCACCTTCTGCTCTCCGCTCTCTACTCTCTATCCTCCACTCTACCACTACTCCCCGCAACGCATTTTCAGAAACCAGGGAGCCCAGGAACCTGGGAATCCGACCGCATGCCGAAGTCGGCCGAAAACTTCACCAAATATTCAACCTCGGGAAACCAGGAACCCGGCTGCCCTCCGAAATCAGCCATACACGTCCAGCAAAAATAATAGATTCGCATGAAGGGTCATGCTCTTCCTCCCACTGCTTCCACTCCTCCCCTTCCTCCTCTGATGCCCCTCCTTCTCTCTCCTCCCCCACTCCCTTCTACCCTCGCCATCTCCCTCTTCCGTCGTCTCCTCGTTGACGGGCTCAAGCAATTTGAAATATGAGTTTGACTTCTGGTATATGCAAGTCCCAGCCACTCTGGGGGCAACACATGTGAGGGCCGGTAAGAAGTGTTTGAAGAAGTTGAGCCGATGGCCATATTCGTGCAACTCATCATCGTCATCAGCATCATCACTGGCAGCTACGAAATCATCATCATTATCATCATCATCATCATCATCATCATCATCATCGTCATCATCATCATCATCATCATCATCATCATCATCATCATCATCATCATAACCAACATCATCAGCATCATCATCAGCAGCAGCATCCTCACCATCCTCGTCATCATCACTAGCAGTAGCATCATCATCATCAACATCATCATCGTCATCATCACCAGCATCAGCATCAGCATCCGCATCATCATCATCATCATCAGCAGCAGCATCATCATCATCCTCATCATCACCATCATCGTCATAAGAATCAGCATCACCATTTTCAGCATCAGCATAATCAACATCTTCAGCATCATCAGCATCGTTATAAAGTTCACCATCATCATCGTAATCATCAGCTTCATCACCAGCAGCAGCATCAACATCACCATCAACATTACCATCACAATCACCACCATCATCATCAGCAGCAGCACTAGTATCATCAGACTCATCATCGTCGTCGCCATCATCAGCATCCTCAGCATCATCGGAATCGTCATCGTCATCGTCATCGTCATCGTCATCATCAGCATGATCGTCGACGTTGTCATAGTCGTCATCAGCATCGCCATCGCCATCACCATCACCATCGTCACCATCAGTATCACCCCAATCACCACCATCAGCAGCACCAGCATAACCAAAACCATCGTCCAGATCGCATCAGGATCGCATGGTTTTCCAGTTCATCCTCTTCGTCTCACCCGTCTGAGGCTTCGACCATCGATTTCACGTCAGGCTTCATCTGCATCATGAACGATGCCAGCTGGCCCCAGACCCACTCGCGCGTCTTGTTGAGCTGCTTGGCGGCGTTGATGACCGAAGGGAGGAGGATGGATGAGGCGGAGGAGGAGGAAGAGGGCGACGAAGACGACGAGGATCTTCACACGTTTGCCTTCGTCTGTCGCTGGGGGAGCCCTCGCCGCCACGACGGAATTCGCAGCAAGGTCCTGGCCAGCCCCAGGACGAGGCCAACACGGGGGACTGACCCCCGAAGCGCTTCCGTGCATCTCTAGAGCCGCGGTTTTGTGTTGGACTTCGCGCAGGATCATCCGCGAACGCCCTGAGGACGCATCTAGATCCGCGATCGGCACCCAAAGACCCCAGGAACGAGAACAGAACGAAGACGGAATCAAAGCGACAGTTGTCCACAGGGTTGCCCTAAACTGCGTTGTGGTCGACCCCTGAGATGGAACAGAGAAGTGGACTGGCGGAAGAATAGGGAGAGGTCTGGATGGAGAGGGGGGAGCGTATGGAGAGGTCGGGATGGAGAGGGGAGGGAGCGGAGGGGGAGGGGAGGGCAGGGGGCAGAGGGCATAAAGCGAGGGGGGAGGGCAAGCTAGGTGCGCGCGCGCCGCATTTGACCTCCTGTCCTCACTCCTATGTCGTCCCATTGCGCTGATGCTTCCTCTATCCGCGGACGCGCGTCATAGCCCACCTGGAACTCAAACAAAAAGACCCCACCGTGCTATGCGCAGTCGGAGAGGAGGAGCTGCGTACATACGAGGTCGAACAGCTGCAGCAGGAACTGGAGCGGAAGTAGCGGGAGGAGCAGGAGGACCAGGGAGAATGCGGCGGAGGAGAAGTGAGGACAGCGACAAAAAAGGAAAGGACTCAGATCCAGAAAAGTGGCCCACGCTGGGGCGAGAGCGCCATTCTTAATGACGGGAGCAAAGCGCCGATCCGAAAATGAGGCCCACGCTGCAGCGTGAGCATAATCTTGAAATACCGGAAACAATCAGACTGCAATAAAGCGTGGGAACGACCACCTTTGTTCAATTATGCCTAAAAGCAATACGTTGAGAGAACTAGCCATCTTCTGGACGAAGTCAGGAGAGAGAGAGATAGAGAGAGAGAGAGAAAGAGGAGAAGAGTAGTATTCATGATGTGAAATTGCACAGGGAAGGGAGGAAATGAAGAGAAGGGGGAAGGGGAGATGGGCAAAGACAGAGGAGAAAGAGAGAGAGAGAGAGAAAGAGAGAGAGAGAGAGAGAGAGAGCGAGAGGGAGAGAGAAAGAGAAACACAGAGAGAGCAATAAGAAAGGAAGGAGAGAAGGGGGGAGGGGGGGGAAAGAACGAATGCAGGGAATGAGAGACGGATGGTGCCTCTGGATTTGCAGGCGGCCGCGGCCTCCTCACACTCCTCATCTTCCTCCTCCTCCTCCTCCTCCTCCTCCTCCTCCTCCTACTCCTCCTCCTCATCCTCCTCCTCCTCCTCCTCCTCCTCCCATCCTCCTGCTCCTGCTCCTGCTCCTGCTCCTGCTCCTGCTCC